CTCGGGAGACACCCGAGGCTCTGTCTTGCAGGTTTTAGTCCATCCGCCGCCATCTAGATCATCGTCGCTACCCGTGCTGAGGCACCGTACAAATCCAGGCTTCATCAAGTGGTACGCCCAGTGGGACCGATTTATTTGGTCTTCACAACTAAATAAAGTTCTTGAAAAGAAGTCGAAATTTGTTGGTTCTTCATGGTGTTTCAATTCGGACCTGAAAGAAAAGATCAAGAATTAGGAAATTCTTGTAAAGCTGCCAGCCGTCGACTTCTACGTCAACCTCCTCCAATTGACGATCAGGTCAATGACAGTTCCGTTGACTTCCATGTCGACGCCTTCCAGCCGACGACGATGCCGACGAAGATGCTGTCGACTTCCATGCCGACCTAAACAACCCGACGAACAAGCCGACAAGGGGCAATTTTATCTTATGGTTTATTAACCCTAATACTTTTATAATTTTATAGATAAGCTCTCAAGTCCTTCGAAGCAAGGGGGCAATTTTGATGATTGAAGTTTCGAGAGATACATCTCCTCGAAGGGGCAAGCATCCCTCGAGCAATACACTACTACTCGAAATATTCGAGAAGACGTATCTCGACTCTACTACTCGAAGTGTTCGACAAGACGTATCTCGATTTTCATAATACCTTCTCGGAATCGAGGTAACACCTTCTCGAGTAATCAACTTATCTCGAGACTGAGGTACTTCTCAAACCTTTTTTAATATATTTCTCGAATCTAAATCAATCTACTGCTGATATCATTAGCATATTACTACTATCATATCAAGATATCTTTTGAAGCACAATCAAAAGAATTCTTCAAGTTACCAACCTCTCGCGGTAAAACTCTATTACCCTTCAACGAGAAAAACGTACTCGGGGGCACAATCAGGGATATACCCTTAGGGCAAGGAATTTGAGGGATCATCCTAATATCCTCTGCTTGAACTGATATTACTCATAATCATCTTATTACTATATGTCATTACATTATCATATTATCTATCACATCTCGAACATCCAAACATATAGGGTTCCTCCCTTCAAATAAGAGAATACAAGCTTCTCACCTTCAAATAAGAGAATCTAGGCGCCATCCTCCTAATTCCGCACACACAGGCTTCTCCCTGCCAATCAGGAACTCACTAACACAAAGACCTCCTCGAGATATTCTATTCTCTTTATCTTTCTATAGGTGACACCCGAGAACTGGGGCAACATTACGAGAAGACATCAACACTCATAGCAACCCATATTCTTCTCATCAAGTCTCGAGAATATAGCTTGCTAGGAGCACTTGACGAGTCCAAATGGAACCCTAGGCCTAAGATTTGGTTACTTGGAGATTAAGCCACTACCTAAATCTATTTTGCTAAGGTTTCAAGAAACAGGTAACACCACCTCTATATAAACAGGTGGTCCCTCTCCCATAATACATATCTTCTATATATCTTCTACACCTTCTATACACGATACACAACCCTCTCTCTCTATTATCTTTATTCCTTTATTGACTTAAGTATCGGAGAGTCTACCTCAGGAAACACCCGAGGCTCTGTCTTGCAGGTTTTAGGCCGTCCGCCGCCATCTAGATCACCATTGCTGCCCGTCCTGGGGCACTGTACAAATCCAGGCTTTGTCATTGACCAAGCAGACTCTGGTTGAGTTCACACATTAGCTAGCCTATTACTTCATTTCTAAAAGGGAATGGGGAAATCGGAAAAGAAGAGACACATGTGGTATGCAAATGAGTTTATGATAATTACATGAAATTTTCTCCTTCTCTTCTTCATGTTGTTGTGTGTTTATTTTCTCCGTTTTAATCCCATTTTTCTATAACTAAAACATAGAGAAAAAACTTGACTCGGAGGATTCAGAAATGTCAAAAAAAAATTGTGACCGAATTAGTGTTGACATATGTGAAGCAAGAGTTGATGGCTTTAGCATATCACGAGCGGGACCTTAACAAATGAGAGACATGAAGACATTCACGTGACACATTTGGACAACTTTTGCATGCATCATTCATCATTCCAATTTTTTCCGCCTAATAAAACCTTGACATCTACGCAAAGAGACCACTCAATCAAATTTAACTCTAAATCCTTTGTTATCCATAAAAAAAATAAATAAAAATAAAAAAATTGATAAGTTCAGACACATACATATACACATCGTGGTGTTCAATCAAACAAAACTTGTATATGTTATAGATCCCGAAAAAAAAAAGAAAATACTTTGTCATTGTACAGATCATTAAAGTGAAATTTAATTTCTCGGAGGGGAAAAGAGTACATAAAAATAAAAAAGATTTATGTTATTCAACAACAGTTATCAAAATTACTCTATCATTTCAGTGACCCAAGTGTTTGGTGAAGTTTTACAGGCAGATGATTGTACAATGAGATAGATACATTATGCTACCTTTTTTTTTTTAATCTCAAAATCACTATTCCGTTTGAAGTTTTATTTTCGTACAATTTGAACTAAAAGTGTAAATTTAAATTGAACAATCATTTCGAACGGAAAAAATATAAATTAATGCATACAAGAGCAAGGTTCTTGAATTACAAAATTACATAAAAGTACAAGGCTACATATAGTTCAGCATAACTGTTTAGCTATTTGCTAGAATATGCATTGTGATTGCTTGAAACTTGAAAGATATGTGTCCACGATCTGAAAATTCGCACATACAAAAATAATTATGTTCGTACTAAGAATCAACTCTCTAACTCTTGAAATCGAATGTATATGATCAAACATTTAACCCCACTCTGGTCCCTTCTAATGAAGTTTAATCAGTGAGAATATTTTTAATTTTGTGACACATTTATGGATGGATGGAAGAACCCGTGAAGAGGGCTTAATAATACCATTGTCTGAGGGTACAACAACTACATGTAACTTCCAACTTCCATAGCCACAAGTTGCAACAAAACAAGAAAGAGTCACGAGAAACAATTTTCTCTTTTTCATAGAAACCACAATCTCTATAACCACAAACCTTCCACCTGTCTCTTTTTGTGTTCACTTTTTCCCCTTTTGCTTCATTCCTAATTTCCTATACCGAATTCTCTCCTTTTATTAGCCTCTCTCCATCGATCGATTTATTGTCCCTCTTCACATGCATTTATGTAAATGTATCAATCTCACATTAATTCTGTTCCCTTATTGAATGAGCTACTTCAAAAAAGAATATGAAATAAATAATGATGATGCCACACTTGTCTTTCATATGAGTTCGAACTCTTGAAGTAGGTAATATCACACAAAAAAAAAAAAAAACAGGAAGGGAGAAAAGGCCAAAATCTCTATCGTACATGCTTGCATTGTGTAAGTTGTAACTCCAATTTGAACCGGCGACTTCATGCCAAATTCTTAAGTAGTGACTTGAACTGCTAAGGCCTCATAAAAATAATTTAAATTGTAAATAATATTATCATTAATTTATAATTTATGTTTGTGGATTATTTTCCTGAAACAGGAGTAGCATTACGTCGAAATTGGCCTCCAGAATGGTAGATGAGCTATGCCAAACAACTTGGCCACTCAGGAACGGTTCCTTCACTCCTTTTATATATCTTTAGCATTGAGATATCAAATATGTCCATTTACTCCAAATTAGATCGAAGTATGTGTTCTTAAGTCACATTGAAGTTTGTGTTTTGCATGGATTTAGCAAAAACTGTGGAGTTGGAATCAAATCATCAAAGCATTTGTGCAGTATATCAATAGATACAGGTACATCAAATTAGATCACTTATAGGAGTACAAGGGACCACAGAGAAACAAATTATCAAAAAGACATTACCATGCATAGTGCATATTCATGCAAAAGAAGACACAATTTTGTTTGTTTAAAAATTGGTTTTTTTTTTGAAACCTGTGGCTATTGAAACAGGCACATCCTTTGAGAACAATCTAGCCTCAAAATCAGTTCACATTTCACAAGTCCATCTTCAAGTAATACGGAAATGGTGTGTTTGAATTTTTTCACAATACGCCAAGCCTCTAGAAAAGAGTTTGGCGAACCACACAAATCCTAAACTTCACATGCATTGATTATGTGGTCAGTGGTCTCAATATAACCAATTGAAATCTGGTGTTAACAATTTTGTGGTGAAATCATTCAAGTAATGTTTTTGTGTTAATGTTGTTAGTTAAAAGTATTTTCTTGTCCTGGAAAGACAGTGATATTTGGAATTAAAACCTAATTAAAATGACATTATTTAGTACTAATAGGATACTATCAATACTTAAAAATCGGAATGCAGAATCTTCTCACATAGGAGTTGCACCCTTATAACTAACCCTTTTAGTTTCTGACATGAAATGAAGATTAGAAGTGAAAGATATGAAATAGGTAAACATCAAACTCCCAAAAATTGCACATGAATTCTTCCAACTTTTAGTGCATTCATTGGACCATAATTGGTGAGCATGCACATTGCTTTGAAATGACTAAAACCAATCTCTTTGGACCACAGTAGAAATCAGGAAAAACAAATGATCAGAAATGAACAAAGAGGGATGTAATGACATTGTGTCCTGAAGCAAGAAAGATGAACAAAAAAACAAACACAATCCCTCTGTCAAGATTGCCACAGAAACCATAGTTCCTTTGTTAGTTGCTACCTACAATTTATCTTTCTTTTTCTTTTCTTTTTTTTAACTAGAACAGAATAACCTCTGCAAAATTAGACAGTGATGTTTGAATCAGCCTATTGGGAACACGTGTCACTCATTTGCATGTTACTTTGTTTTTTGGCCAGGTATTTTCTTGTATAAATTGGATGTTGTTTGTACTCTTTGATCATATTCTTCTTGCCAATGAATCAACCCTTCCCTCAAGCTAACTGTTAACTTCCTTCCTGTTCTGTTCTTCTCTGCCTCTAATCTGAATACTCAATTCATCCAAGTTGGTCCAAATTTTACGATGCATGAAAGTACTTGAGACATTGAGACACAATATAAGGCATTAAATCATCACTAGGAATGGATTTTCATGGTGGGTTATTTTTCACTGGGATCATTACAATTTTAATAGTTCAGTATGGAACCAATGTTGTTTTGGTTGAAGGGAGGCATCATCTTCATACAAGTAAAAAGCACAAGAGTGGTGAAAGTTCAAAAATTGCTGATTCCCCTGTTTATAATGCACCAAGTCCTGATTCTTCTTCTTCTTCCTCTGATTGTCCTCCTCCTTCTGATGATGATGCTCCTGCCGACGATCCGGCCAGCCCACCGGAAGCTTCTGATCCCGGAAATTCAACCACTAGTCCTTGCATTTTCAATGTCGTCGATTTCGGGGCGGTCGGAGATGGATCAACTGATGATACTGCAGCATTCAGAGCTGCTTGGAAAGAAGCCTGTCAGGCTCAATCAAGTGTTCTTTTGGCTCCTTCAAACTATGTTTTCTTGATCACTTCCACAATATTCTCAGGGCCTTGCCAGCCAGGACTTGTATTTCAAGTAAGACAAGAAAAAATATGATGCTTTTTCCTCTTTTTCTCTTTTTGTTCATGATCACTAATAAATTAAGTCAGCCAATTTTTTGAAAGCATTTTGAAACTGATTTATAAGGCTTAATTTCTTCTAATTGTAAAGGTTGATGGGGACCTGATGGCTCCAAATGGACCAGATTGTTGGCCTAAAGGCGACAGCTTACAACAATGGCTGGTTTTTTATAGACTTAATGACATGACTCTTACTGGAACTGGAACTATTGAAGGCAATGGCCAACCATGGTGGGATCTTCCTTGCAAACCTCATAAGGTAAAAATTTGTGATTACAAAATTACTATATTGGATCCGTTATGTGGATCATATGTCGACGTCGTGCTCAATTTCTTTCCAATTTTAACTTGAAATTATCATTTGAACCTTTATAAGATGGAAAAAAATTAGTAGCTATCAATTATTTAGTGTTAATGGAAGGTCACTAAAAAAGTGATTCCTGGAATTGCCATTTTCAGGGTCCCCATGGATCAACATTGCCTGGACCATGTGACAGCCCTGCAGTAACTAACTTCATCCATCAACATCTTTAGTTAATCAGCTTAATATACTCGATTTAATTAAAAATTTTCTTAATAGACCTGAGAAAATCCTCTGTTTCATTGCAGCTAATTCGGTTCTTTCTGAGCTCAAATTTGGTGGTTTCGGGTTTGCGAATTCAGAATAGTCCCAAATTCCACATGAAGTTTGATGGCTGTGAAGGAGTGATCATCGACAGATTGTCGATATCATCTCCTAAACTTAGCCCCAATACTGATGGCATTCACATTGAGAACACGAAATCTGTGGGCATATACAACTCTGTCATTGCCAATGGTACAGTAAAAGTTAATTTCCTCTTTATCTTCTGACTTCAAAAAAATAGAATTCCAATTTGCATTTTGAGTTTCACACAGTCACACACTTCTTCAACTATATATGTAGGTGATGACTGCATCTCCATTGGTCCTGGTTGCGCAAATGTAGATATCGAATCTGTCACTTGCGGTCCTAGCCACGGTATCAGGTTCGCGAACGTTAAATTTTGTTAAGCGATCAGCCAAATTTTGATATTCTGTTGTCTAAATAAACAAGTACCATGTTTCATTTTTATTTATTTATTTATTTTTTTTTTTGCCAGCATTGGTAGCCTTGGAGTGCACAATTCTCAGGCCTGTGTTTCGAACATAACAGTTCGAAACGCCATCATTAAGGAATCAGACAACGGGGTAAGGATCAAAACATGGCAGGGCGGAACAGGATCGGTAACAGGCATATCATTCGACAACATCCAGATGGACAACGTTCGAAACTGCGTGATCATAGACCAGTACTACTGCCTCACAAAGGCGTGTCGGAACGAGACATCGGCCGTGTACCTGTCCGACGTATCATTCAGGAACATTAAGGGTACTTATGATGTTAGAAGCCCTCCGATTCATTTCGCCTGTAGCGATACCGTGGCGTGTACAAACATCACAATGTCTGAGGTCGAATTGCTTCCGTTCGAAGGCGAATTGGTGGATGATCCGTTCTGTTGGAATGCGTATGGTATTCAGGAAACTCTAACTATCCCTCCAATTGATTGTTTGTTAGATGGATTTCCAGAAACTGTTGGAGAGAGTTCCTTATATGAATGCCATTAGGAAAGTGTTTCTTATACTCCTGTGATATGTGCTTTTTGTAGGTTGTTAATGTAGGATATATTTAGTACTAGAGTAGCAAATAGTGAATTGAAGCAATCTTGAAGAGAATAAGACACAGTCATTTCGGTGGTTGCTTACTCTTGTTTCTTGATTCCATCCCTTGAGGGTTTATCTACCCTCAATTGAGCGATGAGAACATGAACTTTATCTAGTGCCTAAATTGTAGTAAGTATTTGTATGTAAATCAATTGTATTAGGTATTACGTGATTCTACAGTAAAATATAAGTGTAATTACAATTTTTTTTAAAAAAAAACCTTTTCTTTTTCGGTAGGTGAAAGTGTAGGTCTTGCTCCTAACTGTAAAGAAATCAACATATGCTTATAACAATTATAAGATGCGGAATTAAATTGACCTCCACCAAATTCGAATTTAGCAATCTATACATAACTAAATAGTACCTTTTGGCGAGGGCGTCGGAAGCATAATAGCTAGATGAATTGACCACACAGCCACACAAATGTCCGGCTTCTAAAAGTATCCACAGAACTATTTCAGAGATGCTCAACAAGATTGTTTCAATGCCAAGGCAATATGCTCGTTCCCTTAAATCACCAAGGCATATGCAAAGAATCCTGGAGAAGAGTTTTCTTTCTATTTCTTTTGCAAAAACCGTATCTTGAAACAAACTTGGCATTGAGTAATTATAGAAGTCTGTTCCTCTCAATTTATTGTCAAATAGAAAATATAGTTTAAACAGAAGATAGGAAATCATATTATATTTAACTGGTTAAGATCAGATATCAGATAACAACCTCCTTAAAAGATAATTTTAGTTGTACTAAAATTACTCTTAAAATAGTAAGTACCTGATATTTGCATATTAACCCAATAATTATCATATAATTATTTTAATCATTTTAACTCTAGATTTAGTTCTTTATGTGTGACCCTTTAGGTTATTAATCAAATGGTAATAAATACAATTCGCTTTAGTACAAAACCAACAAACTCCCACTTGGACTAAAGTCAATTTAGTCAATTTATGTTAAGATAAGTTAAACAATTTTAATAACTTATTATTAACTTAACAATTTAACTTGTATTTATAGATCAAGATTGGTGGTGGGTGTCAAACCAACAAAAATAAAAGAACTTACTCCTAAGAAATTTAGTAGTATAGCAATGAGTAGGGTCGTCTCCTCAGGGAGTAAGGAAGTGAAAATATTTCTAATCAAAAGCAAAGTAACTAAATGGGAGAGATTTTGGATTTGTAACTAATGAATAACAAAAATAATTTGCAAGCAATAAAAGATACTTTTGGAAAATCAATAATAAGAGCAACTCTATTCAAAGGAATAATTTCCACCTTGATGTATCCAACTGATCATTGATGCAAAGATTAACTCAACAAATGATGAATATATTAGTTTTCGTTGTTGGAACCTCCTAACAACTCAGTCTTTTTATTTAACTACCAGTGACTAAGAAACCTTCATTAATCACTCTATAGCCAAAAAAACACTACCGGGAACCTCCTAGGATTCAGTTTTTGACAAGCAAAGACCCAATTCAATTTCTAACAAACAAACCTTGTTTCATTAAAAATTAATTATCTATTCTCACAACACAAGTAAACTACTTACCAAGTAATTATTTGCATTGTCTCTTCTAAGGAACAAACAAACCTTGTAGTTCAATAAATTAGATTATCTAGGAGAATTGAATGCTACCAGCTATTCAAATAATGCCAAATAATCATCAATACACATCAAAGAGAGTAAATAAATACTCAAAATTCGTTGGTGAAAAGCAAACAGTTAGATCTCACAATTGAATAACATCAAGGCTTCAATAAAATCCTTTAACTAGAAAAGAGGTTTAGTTGCTAATCATGGTGAAATCAAAAACACAAGAATTGATGTTTGACATTACAGAGCTAAAACTGATGAAAACGGAGAGAAATCCTTGTCCTGAGCTCCAGCTGTTGCTCCCTGTGTTGTGCCTCTTCTCCTCTCTCAAAATAATAAGAAAAAGACTATTTATATGCAAATTTAGGGCATCCCCACGCTCAGCCCGTTCAAAAATCGCAGCAACCAATTACAATTTTCAGAATTTGCAAATTGGTCCCTGAAGTTTTCCAAAATTACAAATTTACCCCAAAACTTTGGAGATTTTGCACTTTAGTCCCTATTTCAGCGTGCCCACGCAGGAATTAACCACTTCTTCTCTAACTTGAAACTTGATTCAATAAAACCTTCAAAATCTCTTCAAAATCAACACTTTTCTTCTTTTTGTTCCAAATCCTTCCTGTGATCAAATTAAGAATCAAAACACTAATATTAGCATAGATAATATTCAAAACACATAAACCACCACAAATATCATGCTAATATTAACATTATCAATTGGCCTCTAGCTAGGCATCATAACCACCAATTATAATATAGGGATTCTAGGTACACTTACACCTAGCAAGGTGTATCTAGGGTGAAACTCACGCAACCAAAAAAAGGGGAACTCTCAATATTTACAATAATGTCATCCGAGTGATTACACGCGCCCATTAATACCCCCATTATGTGCGATTTTTTGATTTTCAAATCTTGATAACCACCATTATCTCCTAATTTTCAGCCATTTTTGATGATCCAAGATTCCATTCGATCTATTCCATTACTCCCCAAATCAAAAAAAAAAAAAAAATCGAAACCCCAAAAAATCAATCATGCGGCGATACATTCAGGGAAGCTACCGTCGGCGGGACTTCCGAAGTCTGAATCGAATCATTCATAAAAAACGGTAATTCTGATTACAAGTTACAATACTGAAGATGAGGATTAAGGTGTATTCTGGTCAAATTCATCGATTTTTCTGTGTTTATCCATTGTTGTTTGATTTTGGTTGATGAATGTTGTTTTTTCTTAAAATATTCATGTAGATGCCTGTGGCTGAGGATTCCGAACCGAGTATGAACAAATCGGAGGATGAAGGGGAAGCGAGGTAGTACAACTACTCTCTTCAATCATTGGTGTGGTTTTTTTGTTTGGGTTATGTAGATCTAAGGTATGTTCACTCAATTAACAATGTTTGTTCATCAATTTTAGAGATATGTTCTTCGATTTGCTTTTTTTTTTGGGTAAATTAGAAGAGCTGAGAATTATTCATCAGTTTGGTATAATTAGTTATTGTTGAAATTATCAGATTCATCGTTTTCATAACTATTCAAATTATCAGATTAATCAATTTTAGAGTTTTGTTCTTCTATTGGATGTTGTTTTTCTGATAAATTGGTATATTTGTGTATTATTCATCAGATTGGTATAATTATTCATTGTTAAAATTGTAAGATTCATTGTTTACCATATTTATGTAGTATTATTATTTTTTTTTGGTAAATTAGTAGATCTTTGTATTATTCATCAGTTTTGGTATAATTATTCATTGTTGAAATTGTCAGATTCATCGTTTACCATAATTACGTACTATAGTTTTTTTGGTAAATTATTAGATCTTTGCATTATTCATCAGTTTGCTATAATTATTCATTGTTGAAATTGCCAGAATCATCGTTTACTATCATTATGTAGTATTTTTTTTTTTGGTAAATTACTAGATATTTGTATTACTAGATATTTGGTATAATTATTCACTGTTGAAATTGCCGGATTCATCACATCTGACAAGTTATTCATGGAATTTGTAAATATATTGTAGCATGAGCGATAAATATCAGACACATTCTGAAAGAAGCATGAGCGAAGAACAACATTCAGAAGTCAAAATAAGCAGGATATCTGAATCTGCAAAAAATCAAATCACAATAAGTGTAGATATTGATATAGAGGGTTATTCATCAGTTTGGTATAACTATTCATTGTTGAAATTGTTGTATTCATCAATTTGGTATAATTATTCATTGTTGTATCGCACCTATCTCTTGAATTTTTTACTCCTTGTTTGCTACATGCAAATTGTTTCCAATATACAACACCAGATTTGGACATTTTCCAATCTTTGAACTTGTTTATTGAAAAAACCAATGTGCTTAAGAATTATAAGCAACAAAAGCCTCTTCCTCATAGTTGAAACATCGTCCAATTAGCAAAACTTATGTTATTCATCAATAACAACTCGTTATTCATTAGTTAACATAAGATATTCATCGTAAAATCGTAATAATATAATTCACCATCAGTCAAAAAACAACAATGAACACCCTGTTCATCAATAACCATACATTATGCATTACCCTACGCAACCCACGACAAGAAGAAACCTAGTTTCAAAAAAATTATCTCATAAAATAAAATAATATAAAAACTAACATGATAAGCATTAAAAAAGATAACATTTGAAATTAAACATGTGCTAAAAAAAGGGATAAAATTTGGAGAAATTAATTCACGTAATTAAAATTTGGAGGAAAAAAAGGGATAACATTTGATCATGTAATTAAACTGATGATTTGCATAATAAATGCGCGTGTGGACTCCTTTTTTTCGGACTCAATTATTCCAATTTCTCTTTCCCGATGTGTGGTTCACGCACTGCCTAGGTACACCTTGATCTTAATATTATTTGCCTCATGACCACCCAAATGTTTAAGAAAAGTCAAGTGATCGACTTCACCAATCCATGAACCAGTTTTTGTGTAATTAATATCCTTTCACCATCATTTATCCCAATTAGTACAAGAGTAAGGTATAAGTGCCAACTCTAATTGTACTAACTTTATTTCTTATTTCCAAAACTCAACTCTCTTAAATAAATTTAGACTTTTCTGAATTCATTTCTTGTTTGCAAACATTTTGAGTTGATATTTTAACAAGTGGCCATATCTGGGATATACACTTCCACTATTAGAAGTGGTAAATCCTATATTAATCATAAATTATTTATTAATGTTTCTTGTTACACCCAACTTTTATTGTATGCATGACCTTTTACAATTATGGATCAACATAGTCAAAATATAACAATACATACTAAAGATACTCT